GAGGGGAGGGTGGGTGATGGGTATTGAGGAGGGCACCTTTTGGGATGAGCACTGGGCGTTGTATGGAAACCAACTTGACAATAAATTTCATATATTAAAAAAAATGATCTTTTTCAAAGCTTATTTATTTATGTTGAGAGAGAGAAGGAAAGAGAGAGAGCACAGGGGAGGGGTAGAGAGAGAACTCCAAGCAGGCTCCATGTGTGGAGCCCGACGTGGCCTCAAACCCACAAACCAGAGATCATGACCTGAGCTGAAAGCAAGAGTGGGATGCTTAACTGACGGAGCCACCCAGGCGCCCCGCAACCACGATCCTACTAGGTCATTTTCTATAAACTTTATTTTGCACAAAATTTGTATTTCAGTTTTACAATGAAGGAGGAAAATGTAGAATTTATAAAATAGTTTCATGTCATGTTAAAAGTTTTAAGACGCTCTTTTAATTATTTTTACCTTACTGCCAAGGCAGTGATTTCTTTGGGATCTTATTCTCATATTTATGTAACTCAAAAACATCCATTAAAAATCTTGATGTAGAGAGGGATAAGTTGATATTTGAGTTTATGGCTTCATTATTTTAAACTAGCAACGAAAGTGAAAGTGCTTCTTCGGGTATTTGTTCTTGAGTTAAGAAAGCTCCTGGGTGAAGTGGGTTTTTCAAGCTCTGATGGCTGTAAGTGGTATTAATATCAAATAATTTCAGATTTGCCATTGTCTAATGAGACCATTGAGCACAATTCTCTTTCTATATCTGAACACACTGAGATGCACAGAATTCAAGTAATTTGACCAAGGAAATACAGTAAGTATAACAAATTACAGTAGGACCAGATACACAAAGAAGTCCTCCACTTAGCCTGCGTGGATTAGTTAGTTACAAGAACTGATACAAATATTGTGCCCTCTCAGGGTCACTCACTGAAAGTTGATTTTTTTTAGATACCTATTAAACACTTGCACAATTCTATTTTCATTTTTGGCATATGTAGTTTGCCACTGTACTAAATAAATAGGTCACTCATCTAGAATTTCCTTTGAACTGAAGGGCTTAGATCATTTAAAATTCGTGCAGCGAGATAGAAGGAAATGCATACAGAGACAACAATTTGGAACCGAGCTAACACAAAAATAAAACAAGTTGCTCCATTTCGAAACATGCTTTCCGAGCCCCGCTTCTCTCTCCTGTCCTCATACTTCGCGAAGGCCGCTATGTTCTGGCCCCCTGTTTTCATTGTTGGTGGCTGATGTTGGTCCTTCTCTGAGCAGACTGAGGTCTTGGGGAATTGGGGGGACAGCCAATTATTTGGATCCTTCAGTTCTGCTCTCTCACTTTTGTTGGGAGGCATCCCACTGGAGGGGGCCATTCAACCATCATACCTCTTTATTCTCCCTTTTATTTTTTTTTTTAATTTATTTATTTTTTCAACGTTTATTTATTTTTTTTGGGACAGAGAGAGACAGAGCATGAACGGGGGAGGGGCAGAGAGAGAGGGAGACACAGAATCGGAAACAGGCTCCAGGCTCTGAGCCATCAGCCCAGAGCCTGACGCGGGGCTCAAACTCACGGACCGCGAGATCGTGACCTGGCTGAAGTCGGACGCTTAACCGACTGCGCCACCCAGGCGCCCCTATTCTCCCTTTTAAAACATTTCTATTAAAGGTTTATCATATATTTTTGAAATGTTCTATTTTGATTGGTGTCACATGTGTTCAAATTCTCAGAGGCAGTTTTGAATTTCCACAAATGCATCGCATTATGAGAATCTGACTTCAACAGCCACTCCTTTAAATGGCTGCGGACTTCTCTCGTTTTAATTGATACAAGGAGCGAACATGTGCTGAGTATTGATGTGCTGGGAGGTGGTGTACCTTATGTAAATTCTGTCATTTAATCTGAGCGATACCTCTGCAAAATAGATACTGTCATTAATCCCAGTTCTCACAATTTAATAGTAACAGGCATAGAGCCAAAGTTAAACCCAGGACTTTTTGCCTCTAGTATCTATAGTGTGACCACTGTGCTATGTGCCATGACTCCTAACAGTATAGTACTTTCCACATAGTAAAATTCTCACTAAAAAATGTGAATTGAATGGAACTGAATCCATATACTGGCAGCCCATATTCAATGCTCACTGTTACAGACAGAAATTAAGAAATAATCATTTCCACAGTGGGAGAATAAATACAACCCTAAGACATTAATTTCTAATGATTTTTTACCATGGAAGATATAATGTGATATCAAACTTATACATCTTATATGCTACACAAACATTTCCAACTTTCTTAAATTATTAACCTTGACCTTTGTGATATTTGGGAAACATTAAAATAAAAAATGCAATAATACAAATCAGTAACCCTCTCTACATAATCATGCTGAACTGAGTGAAATAGGAGTTCTTTTTTATTTGGAAAAACAATATTACTCTGTTTTGACTCAAGGGTGTTAACATTTTTAGTGTTCGTATTAATTTGTTTTCTTTTGATCATACAATTATTACATTTATTTTCCTTAGTGAAATGGCAAAACATCCCAATTGCCAAATGCTAATGTTGTGTCCATAGAGTCTGAAAATGCACATCTCATTAGGTTTCTGTGTTTCAGCTGGTAAAAGTTTATGAAGTCAGGATTTGTTTCACTTCGGGGATTTTACTTGTGTATTTTTAAAGATACATTTACCATTTCCCTCAGGTTGCTTATCTGTCCTTCATTATCATAGCAACAAAAGTTTTTCACTTTGTAGTCTTACGCAGCTCAGAGCGATCTAGTCTGTTCTTCCAAAAACATGAAGAGGCTACCTGCTGCATGTTTTTTCAAAAAATATTTTTTGTTCTTCATCTTTGAGAGATTATGTTTATCCAAAGAAAGTGTACAACCCAATATGAAGTTTGTTTTATGCTTTTTAAAAATTTTGACTTGAACTTTGATGTTAAGCATCTTCAAGAGGTAGTTTTGTTGTTGTGATTGTTTTAATACTTAAGCAAATAAAAATGGCTGTTTACAACATGAACAATGGTATTTCTAAGAAAACATAAGCCTGAGCTTTATTCTCCTTTTTGTAATACTTCCCTATCTTTTCTATCCACATGAAACGTTCCTTAAACGAAAACGTTAAGAGGAGACTGAGACTCTCTTAGATTCTTCATTAGTTGGCTAGGTCTCCCATAGCAAGATGCTGTGAAAAAGCAACTTTCATGCAGTTATTTTTGTTCCAATATATACAGAAAAGTGACAATACTAAAAAGCTTGGATTTGGATTTCATACCTTACAGTGGCTTTCAAGTACACGTTCTTCCGATTTGTATTGACAGCTCTCTTGTTGGTAGTATTCACCCATTTTAAAGAGAACACAGAAATCCAAAGTGAGTTGTCAGTCCAAGGTCATCTAGTTTGTAGAGTCACAAATTAAACCTGTAAGTTCTGATCACAAGTTCTTGTTAATAATTCCTTTTCACTTTCCATGATTAGATGCTGTGAAATGAGGGAAAGGGAAGCAAAAATGCTAAAGTAATTTAAATTATAAGATGTTGTGCACCCTATATTCAGTTGAAAGGCTTAATAATTAAATAAAATTTTTTGAGAGAGAGAGAGAGACAGAGCATGAGCGGGAGAGAGAGGGAGACACAGAATCCGAAGCAGGCTCCAGGCTCTGAGCTGTCAGCACAGAGCCCGATGCGGGGCTTGAACTCACAGACTGCGAGATCATGACCTGAGCCTAAGTCAGACGCTCAACCGACTGAGCCAGCCAGGCTCCCCTTAAAAAATTTTTTTAAATGTGTATAATCTATACATATTGCATATTATGTACATAATAGACATTGAATATTATATACATAATATTCATTTATAACATACTTTTAGTATATTATATACACTTTCAGTATATTATATGTAAGATATATGCGTATGTATATACACACCCTATACATATATATTATATATAGGTTACCAAACTTTCCTATTTAAGGAGTTTTTTTGAACATGACAGGAAGATATAACCTAACAGAATCTTTCAAACTGGTCACCTTGGAAATGATAGACAAACTGAGATTATTGACTCAATAGTTAACCCTTTACTTTGTTCACAGTTGCAAACATTTTTTGAGACATTCCTGACAGCCAGTTCACCTCTTCAGGCTTTTGATAATATGAAGGAAGCAATTAGCAAACTCCTCCTAGCAGCTGAAGTATTCAGTGAAACATCTACTCTGGGACCAAAGACCTTCAATAGGTAAAAACAAAATTTAACATTAAAAAAAATTAAAAAACCCCAATCTAAAAATTATTAGTGAAAATATATCTTAATTATTACAAGTAGGTGCTATTTGGAAAATGTTATGTCAGTATATAAATATGGACTTGCAAGCATCTTTCCATATTTGTAGATCCTACACTTCAAAGCATGTTACAGACTTGTTAGTGTCTAGATAATAGTGACAAGAAATAAAACACACATTATTTAAGTGGATTTTAATTGTATTTCCTTTTTAAGCTTAGGTATTTCTATCATATGCACTTTGCAATGACTAGGTGTAATTTTACTTATGGCCCTTATTAGCAATAGTCAATAGCTACTGTTTTCATGTTACAGCCTACTTCAACGTAATTTAATGCCCTTTTTCTAGAAAAAAAAAAAGTTAAATTTACAATGTCAACAAAAAGGAGGTGGCTCAATTAAGCTTTATCATGCTTCCTATGTGAATAAGAATGCCCAGCATGTAGGAGAGTTTCCTTCTCCATATTTGCATTTTCATGAAGTAAACTCATATGTTTAATGCATTATTAAACTCATTGTTTAATGCGTTATATTTGTATTTTCTATAAGGAACAAAACAAATTCCAATTTAAAAATAGGCTGCATGTAATTCCATATTATCCAAGCCACTGCTCTCTTCAATTAATACATACCTTGAAATTTAACTGTAGTAACTGTTAATAATGCATCAAATGATAGAGTAAATGTAGCAAATAGAATATATTTTTATATTACCTTGTGTTTTTATTTCAGATGCAGATTATGTTTTCAACTTTTAACTTTTGATATTGGTTACTACAATTTCAGGTACCCTGTTGTGCTCCAGGTGCGTATGCCAAAGGCTTTCTGTGAGCTTCCCGCCTTATGCTGAATGATCTATGTGCGTGTGTGTGTGTGTGTATGTGTGTGCACGTGTTGTTTGCATTCATAGTAACCAACCAATAAATAGCAACTTGTATTAAAGTCACTACAGGCTTATATTTTACTGTAGTTCAGAAAATTAACTAATGTATGGAGAATCTATGATTTGAGGTCCAGTCCCTACTATGCCTCACTGTGGAACAGGCACAGATTTTTCTATGGTTCAGTCACTGTTTATGAAATAAAGTGGTAGACATTTGGGTAATAGAAAATAGCAGTTACCCAGCTTATTCCCTTAGGTTTATATATATATA